GTCGCAGGATAGAGGTCTGAATTCAGAGGACCAGCACCAGGGGAAGGCTCTCGTTTTCTCTGTGGCTCCGAGGAAGGGCCCTCCCTTAACCATCCGTGGACTCAGCGTTCCCTAGAGATCTCCGTGTGTCTTGGTGCCTCTGTTTTCCAGGGTCTAGAAGGTTCTCAGTCCAGAGCCCCCGCTGGCTCCCAGCTCCTCTTTCCTGGTGGCCGTGAGACACCCTCCCTGCCTGCTGCGCTCATTCTCTCTCCTGTCATCTCTTGCAAGATAGAAAGGATGGCTGACGAGGGTGTGGCTGGGGTTCAGGGAGACACCCCAAACGAAGGCTGCCTCATTAGCATAACCCAGTGTCCTCAAATCCATTCCGACTGTGACCTGAGTGACTCCACTTACAGCAGTTAGAGAAGCCCCCTTTCAAAGTGCAGGTATTTGAGTGGGGACGGTTCCGTCCATGAGAGTGGCTGAAGCTCCTACCAGGGCTCCGTGCTTTGGAAGGGAAGGGTCCTAGACGCTCTCTCTGGAAGTCCCCACTGCATGGAGGCTGGCGAAGGGGTAGACTTGAAATCGATCCTGGGTCCCTGGCAGCAAGGGCCTGGGCACTTCCAAAGTCTCTCCAGAGTGTTAAGGTGGGGTGGAGCCTTAACATTCCCCAGAGCACCCAAATCAGGAGCCTCCGTTTGGTTACCCTCCAAAATGGCAGATTCAGGCCCCATTGACTGTGGCCAATTTCACCGATCAAGACAGCAGAGTGGGAGGTGCTAGCTTCTGAGTCGGGTGGGGAGCGGGGAGGTCATGGTTCTGCGTGTGTACAAGCTGGGGGCGTCCAGTCCTCAGATTCAGCCCCCCTGGGCCCACAAGATCAGAGTCTTTCTAGATGAGGAAAGAGGACAAGGAGATATTGCCAGAGCAGGCAGGGGCCTGCAATCAGAGAATTTCTCTTCCTGAAAAAAAAAGTGTTAGAACCTCCTTCATGGTCATGTCCTGTGCCCTGAATTGTTTGTTCATCTCAAACACAGGAACTCGTGTCCACCGCCCATCAATTCCTCTTTCTCTCCTCCTCCCTCAGCGACCAGGAACATTCAGCCTTTGGGGGTCTGCCCGTTCTCCCCTGGGGGTGTGCCTTTGGCATCTTTCCCCCAGCACCACGTTCTCCGGGTCCATCCCCGCAGTAGCATGCCAGAGAGACCCTTCTTTTTCCAACGGAATGATATTGCATGGCATGCACACAGTATTCTGCCTCGCAGTCACCTGGTGGGGACCGCTTAGGGGTGTTTTAGGGGGTGTCGGCTGCGGTGAATAATGTTGCAGTGAACCGTGGTGTCTGAGTGTCTGCTCACGTTCTTGCTTCCGGTCCTTTGAGGCAGGTACAGACTTGGCAGTGGGATTGCTGGGCCGGCTGGTCATTTTGTGATTAAGGTTTTGAGGGCCACCACCTGGATTATGTCAGCGATGGCACTATTATTACATGCCCTCAGGAGTGTCCCGAAGTTCCAAATGCTCTCCATTCTCACCCAGACTGACATGGGCCATGACGGTCAGCGTTGTTCCTGGCCTCTCTCTTCGGATCCAGTATCTCTCATCGGATCCACATGACGCTGCCCCACCGGCCTGTGATAGTCCTGCATTCTGCATCATTGCATGTGGCTGCTTGGGTCTCAAGAGGGCCTAATGGTCTAATAGTGGACTAAGGGACTTTATTAGAGGTGTGGACTTGAGTTGGACAGGGCGGGGATGCTTCCTTGATATATAATTACTTCTTGATTTAAAGCTCTTTCTGAAATATCTATCATTGTCTCTGGATTTGTTTCTCTAGTCCACCTGCCCTAACCCAAAATGCAACCTCCTAACCCAAATACAGCCTCAGGGGTGTGACTGCTTCATGTCTACAAGTGGACACTGTGAGAATGTCCTCACTTCTTGCTGGTCTGAGTCCTGCCCATTGTGGCTCCTGTGTGAGTCCCTCTTGTCCAGGGTCTTCCTCTGTCACTGCCCCTGACTTTCCCAAACACAAGGGCCTTAGTTTCACTGGCTCTCGTTTTTCTCCTAGTTTCTTAAGGACTGCCATTAAATTCTTAATTGAGGAGCTTCTGTCTTTTAAAAAAAATGTGTTTACAGCTATGAATTTCCCTCAGAATACTACTTTTGCTGCATCCCACTAATTTCACTATATTTGGTTTCCATGTTTTGCTTTGATCTTCTGGTTAGAGCGTATCACTTAATTTCCACATCTGTAACATTTCCAGTTTTCCTGCTGCTACCGATTTCTCATTTCACTCCACTGTGATTAGAAAAGATGTGTTGAATGAATGCAATCTCTGTGAATGTATTAACAATTGTGCTGTGGTCTAACTTATGTTCGATTCTGGAAGATGTTCTATGTGCACTGGAGAAGACTGTGTAAAGTTTTGCATCTGATTCTCATGTCCCAGGAGGACCTGGAGGCCTCCCTGAAGGCAAAGAAGAGTCAGATCCAGGAGACAGAGGCCCAAATTAAGCAGCTTGAGGGTGAGAAGGGGAAATGGACCGGTGTTGCAGGGAGGGGTGGAGTGGGAACAGAGCCCTAACATTGCAATGAGGGCAGGGCTGGGTCATATGAGGGGCGGGTCCTTAGAACGGGAGAGTCCAGGGTCAGAGTGTTGGCAGTCCAGGTGGAGAACGTGTGAGGCAGGGTTGCAGGGTTGGGGTGGTACACAGGAGAGCACCCAGAATCCCTTGGAGGATAGGAAAGGATTTCACTGTTGTTCCAAAGTGGGGTCAGGTGGGGCTTGGGACCAAGTCTTCTAAAGGCCAGGGGTCCCATGTTGGCAGTAAGACCACAGGGTGGAAACAGCCTTGCCTCCCCCCCCCACCACCACCACCCACAGAAAAGACCCAAGAACTGGAGAAGGTGCTGCAGGAGAAGGAGGTGCTGCTCAGGTCAGTGGGCCCCTCGACCATACCCTTGTGACCCCAGTCCATCTTTCTCTAAGACCCGTGGCCCCTTCCAGCCCCAAATCCCTATTGCCCAGAGAGTAAAGTTGAGGCCCAGTTGGGCAGCCCATGGCCAAGGTCACACAGCCCATGGGTGGCCAAGCCTCTCTCCTAAGCCCTATGTCTCTGGATTGGGGGCAGGGAACTAGAGCTGCTGGCTGTGTTCCCCCATCTCCATCCCAGAAAACAGAAAGAGGCCTCAGCTCAGAACAAGAGCAGCAATTCCAGCAGCTCCTCGGTGGCCACCGGGCTCCTGCTGCTTCTGTCCCTGGGTCTTGTGGTTGTGCTGCTCTGAGGTCCCACACCCCAGGAACTCTGAGGTGAGGCGGGGAGGAGGGCCTGGGAAAAAGTAAGGTGGGAGGGGTGGTAAGAAACCCTGTGGGGTCAGGGATCAGGGCAAGGATGGTGGCACTATGAGGAGGGATGGGATTTAGGAGGGTGGGGGTACCCTGACTGCCTCAGGTGTGTCCTGAGTTTCTCTCGTTGTGTCTCTTAGGTTGCAGCCTTGATGGTCCATTTCTACTCAGCTGCCTTCTTAGAGGACCCCTTGATGTGGCTGACCTTGGGGGAAGCAAAAGACAGTGTTATAGGGAGCCTGGGGGTGGTATTATGGGAGGGATAGAGTAGTATTCTAGAAGACATGGGGTCGTATTATGAGGGATAGTATTATTGTATTACTGGAGGAGAGTATTATTGGGGGAATGGGGTACCAGCGGAGAACACAGGCTAACATTAGAGGGCCCAGGGTAGTCCTGGGGTAAGAGGTAGATAAGCTGGCCACAGGCTGCTTCCTGCAGAGCTGGCAGGGTGTGAGCCATCTGGGGGTAGAAGCACAGGGTGGGGTTGCCTGGGTCCCTGCTGTGGTCATTGGGAATGTCACTCTATCCTATGTCTTCAGTCTCCAAAACATAATAAAACCTTCCTGCGAGGGAAAAATCGGGCTTTTCAATGTGTGGTCTATGGCTGTATCTGCGATGTTGGGCTGGGCTCTGTGAAGAAGCAAACACAGTGTGATCCCCACACACAGAGTAAGTTCTATCCGGAAAGTGGATCGCAGCGTGACCCCCACAGAGAGAGTAAGGTCTATCTGGAAAGTGGATCACAGTGTGACCCCCACACAGAGAGTAAGGTCTATCCGGAAAGTGGATCACAGTGTGACCCACACACAGAGAGTGAGGTATACAAGGAAAGTGGATCACAGTGTGACCCACACAGAGAGAGTAAGGTATACAAGGAAAGTGGATCCACACACAGAGAGTAAGGTCTATCAGGAAAGTGGATCACAGTGTGACCCCACACACAGAGACTAAAGTCTATCAGGAAAGTGGATCACAGTGTGACCCCACACAGAGAGTAAGATCTATCAGGAAAGTGGGTCACAGTGTGACCCCCACACAGAGTAAGGTATATCAGGAAAGTGGATCACACAGGCTGCTGGAGACAGTCTGCCAGAGGTTGGCAGGCAGTAGGGCAGGTCACTGGTAGCTCTCAGGGTCACGTCCAAAGAACTAAAGGTCAATGGGATTGAGGCAGGACTCAGACCAGCAAGAAGTGAGGACATTCTCACAGTGTCCACTTGTAGACATGAAGCAGTCACACCCCTGAGGCTGTGACCTGAGTTAGGAGGTTGCAGGTTGTGTAAGGCCAGGTGGACTAGAGAAACAAATCCAGAGACACCTATGTAAAGGTTTTTGGGGCGCGAAGCGGAATTAAAGCTCCAATTGGTAAAGTTTTAGAAGCAGGCTTTATTGAGAAGCTTGCGGGCGGGTTCAGCAACTCACATATTGAGCTAATGAAACCGTGCGAGGGGAATTTCTGGCTGCGTTTTTATATCCCCTGGTGGCAGGCACAGCTGCATACAGGGACTTCAAAGGGAAGCGCTCATGAATTTTATCTATAGGTCGGGATGGTTGGAATAAACACATCTTCAAGGGATGCAGGGAAGTGGTCGTTAATCTTATCTATAGGTACCGGGGCAGGTGAAGTAAACATCTTCAAAGAACATTCTTTCTCGGGGATATCTGGTTCTCAGCGAGGGGAGGGGAGGCTGATGTGAGGGAGGCCCATGAGAGGTGAGTTCTGAGACCCAAGAAGGTGCCGGATTCAAAATGGAGTTCCTTGTGCCAAGACCAGGCAACCTATAGTTGTTTGAGAAAGAGCTTTACATGAAGAAGTAATTACATGTCAAGGAAGCATCCCAGCCCTGTCCAACTCAAGTCCATGACTCTGATATAGTCCATGAGTCCAGTCCTAGGCCATTGGTCCCTCTTCAGACTCGAGCAGCCGCATGCAATGATGCAGGATGCAGGAATATCACAGGCCGGCGGGGCAGGGTCATGTGGGTCCAATGACAGCAATCTGGGTCAGCCAGCAGCACGGTGAAGGCAGAGAGAGAAGAAGAGGGTCCTAGGGCCCCCCTTATGAGAGGGTCACACCCACAGGAGGCACCATCAGTCTGTGACCTCATTGACAGGTTGACGACCACTCCTACACTTTTATACAGCTTCACGTTGATGTGAAATTATGCAACCACTGCACAATTCATCCTGGTCTTCCCACAGCCCCTGGCTGCTCACCACGGACCCTTCCCAGGGGCTCTCACATTAAGTTAGGACATCTCATGGGGAGACCTGGGCTGCCAAACTGTTGAGAATCCTGGTCCAGCCAAGTGGACAGGAAACCTAACTATCAGAGCCCCAACATCTGGGCGTCCCCTGGGATGATGGGGATGTGTCCATTCTCTAGAATGTTCTCAGGGTCCCTCCCTCAGCGCTCCACCTCTCTCTCCCTTCTCCTTCCGCACAGGGACTCTGTGCTCTACCACCACTCAGTGTGTGTGTGTGTGAGCCTCGCCCACTTGCTATGGCTCAAGGTGCAGATGCGGAAACAGGTTGAGACAGGGGTCGCCCTGGATCCCACCCTCCCACAGCAAGAAGGGGCTGTAGCTAGACAGGCAGGCCAGACTCCGTCAGACTGACCCCTCTCCTCTGTGCCCAGAGCATTTGTTCATCCTGAAGCAGCAGCCCTGGGAAGCCCTCCCGAAGAGAACACTTCTTCTTCTGCAAAAACTGAGTTCAAGACCTTTCACCCACTTTCTAGAGCCTCCTGGTCTCAAGAGTCTGGCTTTCGGGGGCAGGGAGAGGGGGGAAAATGAGGAACAGATACCAAGGGCTCATGTTGAAAGAAAATGTTTTGCGAACGATGATGACAACAAATGTACACATGTGCTCGACACAATGGATGGATGGATGGTGATAAGAGTTGCAGGAGCCCCCAATAAAATGATTATTAAAAAAGAGAGAGAATCTAGCTTCTTTTGGGGCTGACTTTCTTTCTGAGAGGTGGAAACAGAGCTGCAGAACGGAGAGAGAATTCAGTCGGGAATGAGAAGTAAAGCGGTGCTTTATTGAGGCAGGGAAGGACTCCCAGGCAGATTCCACAAGCTAAGGAGTTAGGTCAAGGAAGTCGGGCCTGGCCATGAGGCGGTAGGAAATACATATATGCGGTTCCGGCCAAGGGCATATGTACTGATAAGGGGCAGGGAGTTTCTCATGCTGCAGCTGCAACGTTTGAATCTGTGAGTCAATCGTCTTGTGTTTGCAGACTTGCTTCCGTCAGGAATGCCGGGAAGGGACTGAATAACCGCCTGGAGAGAGAAGCTCTTTGGAATCCTGGAAGCTGGGGCTGCAAAGCCCAGCAGGTCATGGGTCTTTCTGAGAGGCTGGGGGTAGGGGCTGCCTGGTCTCAGTCCTCCTGGAATCCCAACTACTCTCCCCCTTCTTATCTCTAGCTCAGGCATCAAATCCCTCATTGCCCAGCTCCATGGCCCTGCCCCCAGGGGGGCTCCGTGGCATGAACAATTCCTCTCCATACCTCCCACTCTCCTCCAGTGCCACCCCCTATCGTCTCCTCCTCTTTGGCTCCCCGCCTCCAGTGTGTGCTCCATGGTCTCCCCTCCCTCCTCCCACTTCCCTAGCACCTCCCCAGGAACTCTCCTCTGTGTATGGGCCTTGCCAAGCCTCTTCCTGACCCCTGGCCTTTGCCTGAGCCCAACCTGTCAACCAGAGCCCAGGCCTTGCTCTGAAATTACTCAGCTTCCACCCTGCTGCTGGTGGCTGGAAAATGATTTGCTCTGTTGGGGCTGGGGTCCAGGGGCGGGTGCTGAATGAGTGGCCTAGGGCTGAGCTGAGACCCGGATGAGGAAGGAGGCTGAGGTCTAGGGAACTCTGGTGCAGGCAGAGTTGACAAACAACAACAACAAACAAACAAACTGTTGGATCGGGTCTCAACTAGGCAGCCCCGTTTGGACTAAGCTGAAGCAGGTTTGGGCCCTGCACGTGCTTCCCTGCACCTCCCAGAGGTCAGCAGCAGTCAGCACCAGAGAAGATAAGCCGTGAAACCTGATGTTCCCGGTTCAAAGAAAGCCTCCAGGAGTCAACAAGCAATTCTCCCAGTTTCCAGACCTCATAGGCTAATTGCCATACATTCCTCACCACGCCTTTAAAAACCCTCGCCCCCAGCTGCTGAGCACGACTTCCCTGAGCTGTCAGCCTAGGTCACGGAACCCATCCGGGAGCTCCCCTAACCCCTAATAAAGCTCTTTCTGCTTCTGCTCTCCCCTGTCCTGTCAGTTATGTCCGTCTTCCTCCCTGTTCCTCAGTTCCGCCTTTGCACAAACAAAGCTCACTACCCCTCTCCTCTGTGCCCCGAGCATTTATTCAGCCTGCAGCACCAGTCCCTGGGCCCCAGTCAGGTAGATTCTGGCTCCCAGTGACCCTAGAGGACAAAGTACAAGCGCCCCTGTGGGTTTCCGAGACTGTAACTCTTCACAGGAGCTTCTCCCAAGGAGCAGTTTGTGGTTTTGAACCGTCGACCTTGCAGTTAGCAGCCTCACACGTAACCACTTCACCCCAGGGCTCCTGGTGGACATCTCCAGGAATAAGGACATGGTCCGGGAACCTCCACAGGACGGATGGACAGCGTGCCTGCATCAACGGCTCAGGTGGGCAGAGTAGTGCGGTGTCACGGCACCAGGTCATGTTTGGTTCTGTTCCACAAAGGGTGGCTGTGAGTTGGAACCAGCCTGGTGGCACCAGACACCAACAACAGGAACCTGCCATTGCCCATCTGTGGGTCAAATGGCAGCTGGCTCCGCCCTCCCCTCACAGGTAGGGGCTCTCCCCTCCATTGCAGTGGAGTTTCCATGTACTGCAAATGCCTCACCATTATCATGTAAAAGCCGTGGCTGGTTTCCTTAAAGACCAGCCAGTTATTCCAAGCTTGATAATTAATGGCTAAACAGCTAGGACTGGCACCCACACATAAAGGCAAAGCTTCAAAACCTAGGGTGAAATTAAAATGTTTGCCTTCTCATTGGGGTGTCTGGCTAGCCCCTCAACTCCCAGGAGACAGCATCAGCTTCACTCCTTTCTTCTAGGCCTTGCTGCCTGAAATCCACCTATCTCCTTTGCCTGTGAAACATAAGCAAATGGGCCCTCCCCTGGGCTGTCATCAACCTGGAAACAGAATCACGGTCAAGACTCAGTGGTCTTTTCATCTCCTTGTCATTCACCTTTCTCCAAAACATAAATGTGTGGCCCTTTCTCCTGGTGATAAATGGACCTGGGTCCCAAACATGATTTCTGTCTTCCTGGGATTTTTCAGGATCAGCTTTTTCATAGAAGTGGAAATGGGTTTATCTGCCCTAATTTTGTTACAAGCCTTCGGAAGAAAAAAAAATTAGTTAAAACGACTAAATGAAGTTTAGAAAACACATCCTCTATAATCTCGCTTATTTTCAATAAGCAAACATATCGATGGAGCCTAAAGCCTGAGAAGGAAGACAGAGAATCAGTGAGTGCCCTGGAGAGGGGGTGCTGGGGAAGAATATGGAAAATACCTGACCGCGAAAGGGACAACCCGTCTGTCCTGGAAGAAGTGCGGCCAGGGTGCTCCTCAGAGGCAAGGATGGGGGGACTCCCGACATGTAAGCAGGACGTGTTGGCAGCAGAGACCAGTCCCCGGAGAAGGACAGCGTGCTGGGTACAGCACAAGGGCAGCAAAAATAGGAAGGCCCTCGAGGGGGAGCTGCGTGGATGCGGTGGCTGCAACCAGGGACGCAGACACAGGGGTCATTGTGCGGATGGCCCTGCATCAGGGGGTGTTTCTTTACTGTGAACAGAAGTTTATTGGGGGTTGACCCTGACCCCAGGGCACCTCACCACCCAACCACAGCCCAGTGGTGATGGAGATCTTGTAAGGAGGAGGAGGGGGGAGAGCAGGAGGCAGGAAGCTGTGAGGAGGGAGGGGAAGGTGGAGGCGGAGGTTCAGGAGAGAGGAAGTTGGAGTGGGGTGGGGGTAATCAGAGGGGGAGACCCTAAGACTGAAGAAGGAGTGAGGGGACAGGATTTCAGGGGGAGGGAAGCCCTGGGCTCAACCTAAGGGACCTGGGATCAGATTCGCGTTCCAAGGTCGCCCTCTGGTGACTCATTGGGGAAGGGCGGGGATGGGAGGCTCTCATGGAGGGTCACTGGAAAGGTTGGTCAGTCTTGTGTGCGCCCTCCACCCAGCCTCCTTGTCCCCATCTTGGGGCAATATGATCACAGGCCCGCGCTGAGAGCCCCCTGTTCCTGCGCCAAGCCCCAGAGGGAGAAACGGACACGCAGAGGGCGGCAGAGACAGAAGACAGTACTCGAACCCCGGACCCCAAGTCCAGTCTTGGCCTGGAAAAAGACATGCTCCTGGCAGGGGTCCAGCCCCTCCTCACGGAGCAGGAAACCTTGGCTGGGCGGGGTGGACCCGTGGGTGTCCCTGGCACCCCAACGTGCCAATTAAATGCCAGCGGCTGTCTGCGATGAGCGCTGGGGACCGCAGCATGGCCGAGCCAGGGCCAGAGCCCAGTCGCGCGTGGCGGCTGCTCGCGCTGTGCGGGGCTGCCCTCTTTCTAGCCGCAGTGGCTGCAGGCGCGGCCCTGCTAGCCTGGAACCTGGCTGCCTCTGCCACCCGGAGACCTCACTGCCCGCAGCCTGGCCCCAATGCCACTGTGCCAACCAGGGGCCCACCTGGGGATCCGCCCGGGGACCCTCCCGAAGTCGAGGAACTACGTCGCCAACTGTCTGAGGCTGCCCAGCGCCAGGAGGCCCTGTCTGGGCAGCTGGACCAGGCTGAGGGTGTCCGCCAGGCGCTGGAGGAGGCACTGAGAGCCTGTGAGGGCCGCCAGGTAACATGGCAGGAGGGGGGGTCGGGGAATGATCCAGAACGTCCAGGTAGATGGCCTGCTAGCACACACACCTCAGGGCTCCAGGTTCTAGTCCCTGCCCCACCCCATGCCTCAGTTTCCCCAATTCTTCCACTGAAGGAGGCAAGTCCAAACAGCACCATAGAACAACAGAAAACCGGAGTGTCTTCCAGTCAATGCCCACTCCCGTGACCCTCTAGGACACAGTGGAACTGCCCTGTGGGTTTCGGAGACTGCAGCTCTTTCCGGAAGTAGAAAGCTGGGTCTTTCTCCGGAGGATGGGCTAGTGCCTGCCTCTCACCTGCTCACCTTGTGATTGGCAGCTCCACTGGGAACCTTGGCTCACCTGGGCTCCTCAAAGTCTATCAGCCTGCCCTCAGCCTGGCTGCCTGGCGGGTGGGTCAGGAATGCTGACTGAGGAAGTCCTGGGGGGACATTGACAATGACGCGATTGGTCATTGGCTCCTGAGCTGAAGGTTGGCATTGGGACCCACCAGCAGCACTGCGGAAGAAAGGTCTGGCGATCGGCTTTCACAGAGATTCCAGGTGGTTGCTGGGTGCCATCATCAGCCTAGCGCATCACGACCTCATGGAACAGGGACATCTGCCCACAGGGCCTCCTGGTTGTGCTCTTGGCAGAAAAGGGCCCGGTTTCTGCTCTGGTTTGTGGGCTGACCGTTATGTTGGCAGTCTGAACCCACCAGATAACCTGCACAAAACACGGTGGCCGTCAGCTCTGGAAGACGACAACCTGACAACCGTCTCACTGCCATCAGGTCGGGTCTCCCTCACGTCCACCCTACAGGCCAGGGTAGAACTGCCCCGCAGGGTCTCTGGGCTCTATGGGGGCAGAAAGGCTCGTTTCCTCTCCCACGGAGCAGTTGGTGGTTTTGAACTTGTGAACCTGTGGTTAGCAGGCCAAGGCACCAGGGCTCCTTGTCCTCTGCCCTCGTGGCGTCCTCATGAGTTGCGATGGACTCAAGGGGCAGTGGGCTCGGCTCTACTGGAGGTCACGCTTCTGGAAGCAGACCAACAGGTGCCATCCTGTAGGGAACGCAGTTCTGCCTGCACTCTGGCCCTCTGCCCTGCTCTGCACCAATGCACAGGGAGTCCCCTGGAGCCAGGAGCAATCCAAACACAACAGATTGTCATGTGACAAGTTCCTAGACCCCCTGGTCCACCTGAGGCAGCCCAGAGTCCCCTCCCCCAGCCCAGCCAGTGTCCAGCAGCCCTATTTCAAGAGACAGACTCACCACCTCTAATTAGGAGGCTAAAGCTGGTGGTTGGTGGGAGGGACCAGGCAGCCCCTCCCTTTCCTCCTGCCTCCCTGCTGCAGGCTCCTCTTTAACCCTTCCAGCCCTCAGCCTCCCAGAGGGCTTTGTTGTCAGTCAAGCTCATGGCCACCCCACGTGTGCACACTAGAGCTGTGCGCCCCCTGGTGTTCACGGCTGGGATCTCTGGGACATTGACTGCCAGGCCTTTCTTTCAAGGCACCTCTGAGGGGTGGGGGTTTAGAACTGCCAACCTTTGGCCTAGTCATTGAGTGCTTAACCCTTTGTGCTACCCAGAGCCTCCTCTCATAAAAGACTCTGCCTCAAAACCCCTGTACCATACCCGGCCACTGAAGAGGAGCCCAGGTAGCGTAGTGGTTATCTGTTGGGCTGCTAACCCCAAAGTCAACAGCTCGAAACCACCAGCTGATTCTAGGGAGAAAAAGGAGGCTTTCAACCCCCACAGAGAGGCACAGAATCTCCCAAGGGCAGGTCTACCCTGTCCTCTAGGGTCACTGTGAGTCAGTCCACTCAATGGCAGTGAGTCTGGTTCTGACTCAGTACTGGGCCCACCAAGGGTCTGGGCAGCAGAGGGGCCAGAGCCGCCAGGAGGGACCTCTTTCCTGTCTGCCCAAGGGATTGGGGTGACAGGTTAACTGCACCACCCTGGGTCCATCTCTGCCCTTCTCTGGAAGATTCTCTGAATAGGCCAGTTCAGTTGTTTCATAAAATGTTCCCCAGAGACAGCGCCCATGTGCCCCAGAGCCCAGTGATCACCACCCACCAAATCAGCTTGAGTGGCTCTGGCACCCAAAGTTGCTGGTCCGAGCCCGACTAGGAGGTGGGTTTTAAACCAGGGTTTGGTTTGACCTCAGAGGGAGGCCATTTCCACTTGGTGAGGGCTTAGGTGGGGAGATAATTCCCGCCAGACAGGCAGCTGTTCCCACAGGACATCTGGGTTTCCGGGGCCACTTCTGTGTTTTATGGTTCCCCCAAACCAAAAACCAACCACGTTGTCTTTGTGCAGAATCCTACTCAAGGACTCGAGAGGTGCTGTACTGGAAGTCAAAAACTCCCCAAGCTCACTGCCCGTCGGTGGATGCTGACTCATAGCAACCCTGTAGGGCAGGGTGGAACTGCCCCTGTTATATAGTTTCCAAGCCCGTTCTTTTCTATGAGAGTAGAAAGCCCTGTCTTTTCCTGAAGGGCAGATGGTGGTTTCGAACGACTGAACTTGCAATTATAGCCCAAGGCTTAACAACTACGCCACCAGGGCTCCTTACAGTTAAAAAGCTCCTTAATGTCTTGGCTGTACTGACAACAGAAAGAGCCCTGATGGGTGGTGGGTCAAGTGCTTGGCTGCTAACTGGAGGATCAGTGGTTTGAACCCATCAGCCATTCCTTGGGAGGGAGGTGTGACAGCCTCATCTTTTCCCTGACAAAGGACCTCTGGGTTTGAACTGCCCGCCTTGCCGTTAGCAGCTGATGCTTCCTCCGCAGCCCCACCAGGGTTCCTGAGGTCAGTAGTGCAGCGCAGAGTGTTCTGCCACCCAGAGCCTGGTTGACTTCCATCAAATCCCCTGTTGTCCGGTTGACTCTTACTCATGGGACCTGCAGGCAGGGTCGACCTGCCCGGGTGCTTCTGATGCCATACAGGCACAGTTCCTTCTTTCTTGTGCTCACAGCTGGTGGGTTTGAACTGCCAACCTTGTGTAACCCTCTGCCCCCCACCTGCCATGTCCTTCCCTTCTCTGCAGACTTGGCTTCAGACCCAGCTGAAGACAATGAAGAGTGAGCTGGATGAGGCCCGGGCACAAGGGACCCAAGTGGGGGAGGAGAATGGGGCACTGACAGGTGTGTTGGGGCCCAGGGGGAAGGGGAGGTTGGGGATTGGCGGAGGGCAGGACTAGAGGAGGGGAGGTGCCTAGAAGGTTCCTTGGTGTATAAACTGGAACCGGAAGGTTCTTTCCTTGCTCAGTAAGAAGGAGGAATCTGAGAGTCATATTTATCACACAGGCAAACAGATTTATTAGGAACAAGGAGACTGGGGGAGGCCTGGGGCCACGCAGAGCACAGCTCTCCACACACGGACGAGGAGGGGTTGCTTTTTATTTTGCTTTGAGATGAACTTGTCACGAGAGACTCTAAATCCCTTAAGTTTTACTTTTGCTCCTTTTAAAAAATGTATATATGCATTTTATATTATATTATATATATATATAGAGAGAGAGAGAGATTCACAAAAAGAAGCTTTTAAGGTATTTTAAGAGGGGAGGGCATTGTTTATTCACAAAAGGAGGTGTTGAAGAGGGAAATGAGCCCGCATGGGCGGCAGTGAGTGCTAACAGAAGACATCCCCAATATGGTGCGGCAAACCCTCCAGGTGGGGTATCCCCACTTATTATGGGGTGGTGCACAGCCTCTTCAACCCTGGAAAGCTGGTCAAATGCTGAAATCTCAGAGCAAGGGAGTGGAACTAAAACCCATTCTTCTTGCAGAAGTGAAAGGAACTTGAAAACGACCTCATATCCCATAAGTTTAAAGGTTAACTGAGTGCAAAGTGTGGGGCTCCGGAAACTCTGCAGTCATTCCAACTTGAGCTATGGGGCTGGAAGAATCGACATCCTTCCTAACCTGCCACAAAACCAACTGCAAATGGCCACATGCAAACACCATGCAAAACCCATGCAAAAAAACACAAAATCAATACCAATGTCACAAAACACGCAAACGCCAGTTAAGCGGCTCACAAAAGTACCGCAAACACTACCCAAAAACCCCGCATATTTTATGTAAATTAAGCGAAGCAGGCAAATCCTACGCACACCATCAACCACTTCCCTAACCACTACCCCACCTCACCCCCTCCCTGCAGAAGCCCTGGCGCGCTGGGAGGCGGTTGCAGCGGACTCAGCTAAGCGGCTGGAGGAGGCGCAGCAGCGCGCAAGCGCAGCGGAGGCGGAGGGTGGAGCCTGTGCGGCCCGGGAGGCGGAGCTGCGGGAACGCGTGTGAGTGAGGGGCGGGCCTGGGACGTGTGGGCGGGCTGCGCGGCCCTTGGCTGAATCGGGTGTACTTCTTTCAGCCAATCATCGCATGGGGCGGGATCGGCAAGGATCTGAATAGGAGGGGGGTGGCCTAGGTGGCCTCTTCCCGAGGTTGGCAGTTTGAAACCACCAGCTGCTCCGCAGGAGACCCACAGGGCTTCCTACTCCTATAAACAGTCACACCTTGCTCAACAGGGTCGCTATGAGTCAGTAGGGACTGGACAGCGGTGAGGTTGTGTTCGGTGGGCACGGCCTGAAGGGCATGACTTCAGGAGGCAGGTTTGGTTGTCAGGTGCTTTGGGTCAGTTCCGACCCATGGCGACCCCGTGCGCCACAGAACGAACCCCTGCATGATCCCGCGCCATCGTAACAATTCCTAGGCCTGAGCCCGCTGATGTAGCCACTGTGTCCATCCATCTTGTCGAGGGCCTCCCTCTCTTCACCCCTCCACTTGACCAAGCATGTCCTTCTCCAGTGACCGGCCTCCCTTGACAGACAGCATGTCCAAAGTATGTAAGACAAAGCCGCGGTCTTATTTCTTCCAGTACAGATCGGCTTCTCCTTTCAACATTCTTCCTCAGCACAATTCGAACGCATCAATTCCTCTTCCCTCTTCCTTATTCAGTGTCCACCTCCCACATGCGTAGGAGGCGATGAAGAACGCCTGGGCTTGAGTCAGGCGCACCTCAGTCCTCAGAGTAGCAGCCTCTCTCTTTGATGCGCTAAAGAGGTCTTGTGCAGCAGGTTTACCCAATGCAGTACATCTTTTGATCTCGACTGCTGCTTCCATGAACATTGATTGTGGATCCAAGTAAGACAAAATCCTTGACAACTTCAACCTGTTCTCCATGGATCTTGAGGTTCCCTTTTGGTCCAGGTGTGAAGAGTTTGGTCTTCTTGGCATTGAGTTGTACTCCAGACGGAAAGCTGTCCTCCTCGATCTCCATCAGCAAGTGCTCCAAGTCCTCCTCACTTCCAGCAACAAGCAAGGTGGTGTCGTATGCATGCCGCAGGTTGTTAATAAGCCTGCCTCCAATCCTGATGCAGCCTTCGTCTCCATATAATCCAGCTTCTCTGATTTGCTCGGCATAAAGAGTGAACAAGTATGGTGAGAGGCTACAACTGTGACGCACACCTTTCCTGATTTTAAACCACCCAGCATGCCCTGTTCGAACAACTGCCTCTTGATCCATGTACAAGATCCATGAGCACAATGAAGTGTGCTGGAATCCCCATTCTTCTCAAGGTGATCCATAGTTTACGGTGGCCCACACAGTCGAATGCCTTGGCATAGGCAATGAAACACAAGTAAAAGTCTTTCTGGTGTTCCCTTCTCTGAGCCACGATCCATCGGACATCAGCTAAGATATCCCTTGT